CACCCCGGGAGCCGAGAGGCCTCCTGACCTCCTGGATCAGCGGAGCCGAGAGGCCTCCCGGCCCCAGGAGGGCACATGCTGGGCTAAGGGACCCCCCACCCATCCCCAGTGCACGAATTTCGTGCACCGGGCCTCTAGTATAATATAAGAAAAAAAGTTGTGTTAATCCACTGAGACTTTGAAGATTGTTACTGCTGCTTATGGCTACTGACCAAAATACCCCTTACATTTGTTAGAAACAAGTTACTAACTCAAAGCCTCACTCAAAGCCTTCATGGTGGCACAAATCTCAAAAATGCCTCCGAGAATGTGGTATTGATTTTGGTTTACTATTTTTATAGTTAGAGGCAGTTTTAGTGGCTTCCACTTGGCCTTTCCTACCATAATAGTCCTCTCTCTTGTATCAGAGAACCAATGCTATAATTCTAGAAGTTGATGAATATATCTATTTAAATTATACTAGAATATACATTTTGAAAATGGAGAAATAATCTCATCATTTGTTTATGGATACTCACTGGGATATTGTGGGATGGGTTGAGTCAAATCACCTGACCTGTAAATCTCTACTCTCACTTTGTGGACAATTGTGATATATCAGGTCTCCAGAAATTAGTGTAACTTCAGAGCCAGTGTTCAGTAATTCCCTCAAAATCTGATTATTTCCCATTTCCAAATGCTCAGTAGCCTGATAAATGATAAATGGCTGCAGGCTCCTTTAGGAAAGGCTAAGAAGGAGATCAATAGTATAATTTTTATGACAGCATAATATTTCATTTTCTCAAAGGGACCCATTCTCCCCTTCAAAAGATTCTAGGAATTGATTGAGGGCATATGGTTTTGGGGGATTCAAGTCAGACTTCTGTAGTAGGCCTATACCTATTCTACTTATACAGATTAACTGAGAATTTAGTAAACTGCCCATCCATTTCTTTTCTAGGAACACCCTGATCAATTAGTCAACACTAATGATCACTGTGAGTCAGACTATTCTGACTACAGATTTGATTTTGCTGTCCATTACAGTAACCACCCCATTTTGTCTTTGATGATCATATTAGTTTCCTAGGTTTATTGCAACAAAATACCACAAACTACATGGCTTAAAACAACAGAATTTATTCTCTCACTGACTGGAGTCTTGAAGTATGAAGTCAAGGTGTTAGAAAATGTGGATCTTTCTGGAATCTCTGAAAGAGAATCTATTCCATACATCTCTCCTAATGTCTGATGGTTACTGTCAATTATTGGCATTTGTTGGCTTTCAGCGGCATCACTCAAATCTCTGCTTTCATCATGACATGGTATTCCCCCTGTGTCTAAATTTCCCTCTTCTTTTAAGTATGCAAGTCATAAATTAGTACTTATTCTAACTCAGAATGACCTTAGCTTGATTACATCCGAAAAGACCCAATTCCCAAATACTAGTAAAGTCACATTCACAGGTACTAGGAGTTATGACTTCAACATATTATTTTAGGGGACATGATTCAACCCACAACAACAATTAAATACTGCTACTTGGCCCCTATCATTCCGGGATTTCATAATTCTCATTGTACTTAGGGATTTCACTTCTATGTAGCAATCTCCACTATAATTTCTGATCTATACTAAATAACCAGCACAACGCTTATCAAGGATGCTGGGGATCCCCTTACAGATTTATTTCTCACAGCCAGGGTAGAAGGCATGTTCTCAGAACCATCTCAGGGTGATGCAGATGTTAGATGATAAAGCCATTTTGACATTTTAATATCCCTAAGCATTTAGATACCTTCCTTTATAATATACCAAAGAACTTCTGGCATTTCAATTTCATTTACTTTGGATCACCTTTGGGTTTGTGTTTCATCCAAACAGCCAAGTAAAATGTTAAAGCCATTTCAAATCTCTCAAGCTAAAATATAAATATGGAATTTTTCTAAGTAGGCCCAAATATGGACTGAATTATGTCCCCCCCAAATACAAGTTATAATCCCCTCTAAAAAGACAAAATTAAGTGATATCGTAATTTCACTTATGATGAGCTCTTAATCTGTTAGTATTGGGATCTTTGCAAGAAAATGAAGAGACACTAGAGCAGTGGTTCTCAACCTTCCTAATGCCGCGACCCTTTAATACAGTTCCTCATGTTGTGGTGACCCCCAATTTCATTGTTACACATTGAACATAATTAAAGCATAGTGATTAATCACAAAAACAATATGTGATTATATATGTGTTTTCTGATGGTCTTAGGCGACCCCTGTGAAAGGGTCGTTCGACCCCCAAAGGGGTCGCGACCCACAGGTTGAGAACCGCTGCTCTAGAGAGTTCTCCCTCTCTTTCCGTGTGTGCATAGACAAAAGGCAACATGAGGGCACAGCAAGGAGGAAGAGGTGTCTCACCAGAAATCAAACATGCTGACACCTGATCTTGAACTTCAGTCTTCCAGAACTGTGAGAAAATACATTTCTGGGATTGTTGGCAGTCTATAGTATTTTGGCAGGTCAAACTGACTAATACAGGCCCATATCAATAAATTTGGCCTGATTCAACTTTTCTGTTCCTTTCACCTTGACACCTTATCTTTAAGATTGATTCACACACATATTCCTCAGGTTTCTGACTATATAAATTGGCAAAAATCATGTAATTCTTTTGGTGTGCGTAGCAGGTCCTCATCTGTCACACTTTGTACTTTACCCTTTGGGGCCTGCTGGGACTTAACTCTAGTTATGAGTGTAGAAGCGAAGAGGAGTGGTGGGAATAGGTCCTGAAGAGGATCAATGGTGCCTTATGAGGCAACTGCCTCAGGATAGGCCATGAAAAGTTCTCAGACAAAGAAGCATCAACCATCTCAGGCAGGGGTGGAAGAGCTGCTTCTACTGACAAAGAAGGCTCAGCAGAACTTCAAAGTCAAAGGTCCCCAGATTGATATATCCCCGTGCCAGTTTTTCAGGATCTCAATTTCTCAACCAATGCCTTAACTTTATTAACAGAGATGCCTCAAAATTGAGATTTTAGTTTGCAGTATTTGGCCCCTGGAAGAGAGAGATGCTAGGTTTGTGCCGGAGACAAATTCCAGCATGACAGTAGAGCTGAATCTGGGAATGGCTGAAGGCATTTCCCCAAACCTGAATAGGATGCCTTAAATTGATTGTGTTGGCTGCCAGACAGCTAAAAGGCATCTTAATCTACATGTTATTGCCTCCTACTGGCCAAACACCTGAACAGCCGTAGGCTAATTCCCCCATTCTGACAATGGACTCTGTAGGAAACCCTGACCCTTTGAAGTGTATATCTCCACCTCGCTTCAGGATAATTTGTGTTAATAAAAAGCATGGGGTCCTGAGACAAGGAGACCTTAGACCTTAAGCCCCTTTCACAGGGGTCGCCTAAGACCATCGGAAAACACATATATAATTACATATTGTTTTTGTGATTAATCACTGTGCTTTAATTATGTTCAATGTGTAACAATGAAATTGGGGGTCACCACAACATGAGGAACTGTATTAAAGGGTCGCGGCATTAGGAAGGTTGAGAACCACTGCCTTAAGACCTTAGACTTTAAGACCTAAGAACTCAGATCTTAGCTCCTTCAGCTAGGCTCCTCTGACCCCCAATGCCTTTCAAAATTATATTTCATCTCTGGACTCTTTATTAATCTACGCACAGCCTTCTCCAGATTTCCTGAACCCTCCTTAATGCTGGAACAAGAACCCTGGCAGGTTTGGTTTTCAGAAATCTTGGCCCTATGACTACAGAAGATAAGGAATTTTTTCAGGCCAGTCATAGAAACTATCAGATCCTTTACAAGGTCACTGAGCAGAGAATTCAAATCCCTAAGCTCATCATTTCCCTACTTTCTGCAGCACAGTGAAGAGCAACTATCCAATTTCATTGTGCTCTTTAGTTTGACTAAAATGTTCAAAGTCGTCAAATACATGGTCATCTAGAACCTTACCTTTTATAAGTACAGTGGGGCCTTGACTTACGAGTTTAATTCGTTCCGAGACCGAGCTCGTTAACTCAAATTACTCTATCAACTCAATGCAAAAAATCGGCCGAGAGACAGCTGGTATCTCAAAAAACTCGTTAGTCGGGACACTCGTAAGTCAAGGCCCCACTGTATTTGATAAGGTGACTAGTAGAGTCCAGTAGACTCGAAGCCAATTTGAAGAACTGGTTCTTAAGATTCCATTCCTCTGGAATCACTCTTTATTGCAAAATCTGTATTGGGTAGAGTTTAATTGGAGCAGCAGAAGCACTAGAATCTACCTATATTTATATCAGAGTTTCTCAGTAGTGGCATTATTGACATTTTGGACTGTATAATTCTTTGTTGGGGGCTGGGGAGACTGTCCTGTACACCACAGTTTGTTTAGCAGCATCATGACCTCTACCTAGTAGATACCAGGTAGCATAAATTCTTCAACGCCCCCTCCCCCAGTTGTAACAACCAAAAATGTCTCCAAACATTGTCAACTTCCCCTTAAGGAGCAAATTTGACCCAAGTTGAGTACCACTGGCACCTCCACCTATATAAACTATTTCTATATCTATATTTATGTCTATATATGGATCTATTTATCTAAGAGAGATTTGTGACATGGACTTGGCCCTATGTCAGTGATGGCGAACCTATGACACGCGTGTCAGAGGTGACACGCGAACTCATTTTTTTGGTTGATTTTTCTTTGTCAAATGGCACTTAAATATATAAAATAAATATCAAAAATATGTCTTTGTTTTACTATGGTTGCAAATATCAAAAAATGTCTCTATGTGACACGGCACCAGAGTTAAGTTAGGGTTTTTCAAAATGCTGACATGCCGAGCTCAAAAGGTTCGCCATCACTGCCCTATGTAATTGTGAGAGCAGGTGACGTATGATGCTAAGGTGTCAAGTCCACAGGGAAGGCAGTCAGGAATGGAAGATCCCAAGCAGACTGGAGCCCCATAAGGAAAGGCTAAAATCGGTGTCAGTTCTTTATGCCACTCTCCTTGGTGAGGAGAGTATTCAGCCCCAGTGGAGCTCTTTGTCGCAGAGCTAAAAACACACTGTTGGCCTAGGAGTCACAGAAGCTGAGGGAGGATCAGGGGAAGATGGAGGATCAGGCTCAGCTGCTGCTTCACAACAATGAGGTAAATCAGCAGATCAGCAACCTGTGTGAGCTACAAAATGGCCGCTGCTCCCGTTCCAGCCTCCACATCTAGCGATCTCGCTTGTATCTGACCTTCACTGGAAAAAGAATGATGAATTCTGACAAATGAGTCCAGCCTAGGCAAACTGACATATTACAAAGCCATTACAAGATAGTTTCCTCAAAGTAGGATTTCAAATAAGCTCATACTCAAATGAAAATATCAGCCAAGCTGGGAGAATTTGCAGTTACAAAGACTAACTACAAAAGAAATTATGAGCCTAAATGGATCAAAATCATATTAAATATATAGGAAACTTCAAAACTCCACAAATGAATGGTATGTCGTGAATGAACACAAATTGTTTTTCTTTATGAATGAGATCAAAAAGGGATTTGTCTGGCACAAATTTACTAGTATGACCCCTTATATATTCAACATAATAAAAGCCAAAGCAAAACACTTAACAGAAGATAGATTTAATGTTAACCAGAACAATTGGATAATTGTCCCAGGAAGATTATAGGTAACTGGATGGAAATATTTTGTCAAGTAATCTATGATAACCAGCATTTAATGTGCCATGGAGATGTTTATCTCAGAATAGCAAAGCAGCATGAACGCTCATGTCAGAACAAAGGGTTCAGCTTCTGATTGCAGAAGATGCTGAGCATTTACTCCATTTGTAGCAAGAATGTCTCTCTAAGGATTCCTAGGACCTTTCTGAGACCTGATGCAATTCATATAGTTATTCAACAAGCATTTATGGAACCTCTGTTATGTGGCAGGCACTCTTCTAGGTGCTCTCTATATAACAGAGAATAAAACAGACCAAGTATCAGCTCTCCAGTAGCACACCTCCCAGTGAGAATGCGGGAAATGAATCAAACAAATGTGTATGTTTCGTTGTGGTAAGTGCTATGAGGGAAATTATATTAGGGTAAAAGATGGAATGTTATGAATTAGAGTGCTAGTGACTTTTTAGACCAGGTGTTCAGGGAAAATCCACTAAAAAGGTGACCTATAAGCAGAGATCTGGATCAAGTGAGGAAGGAAGTAAATGAAGCTTTCTAGAGAAGGGCAAGGAAATAATAAGTGTAAAGGCTCAGAAGACTGGAGCTGTTGGCACATTAGGTGCCCAGCAAGGAGTTCAGAATGCCTGGAGTGGAATGGGCCAGGGAAACCGAGTTTGGAGATGAAATCAAGAGACATCCAGGGGCTAGTCTCAGAGGCCATGTTAGAATTTTTTTCTGCGAGATAAAAGAAACCACTGGAAAGTTTTAAACAGAGTGGTACAATCTGGCTTTTATTTTATTTTATTTACTAGAGGCCCGTTGTGCCCCGACCCGCGGGACAACAACGGGGGTACGAAGAGACACCCTAAGAGAATGAGACAAACAAGGGACACGAAAGAATGGAGGCAAGACAGTGTTCCGATCAAGCCTCAACTTTATTTTTACAGCGTGTAGAATTTATATTGTCCTAGAGGAAGGGGGGTGGGTAAAGGGGTCTATGGGCGGTAGAGGAAGGAGGTGAGTAAAGGGGTCTTTGGGCGGTAACCTGTCACTAGAGATTTAGCAGGCTCCGGATGGCTGTGTGCTTATCAGCGGAGGTGTGTGCTTGTTAGCCGAGATTTAACAGCTGTGTACTTAGGTGAGGGTCGGTTATCTTTTAACTCCAGGCTAAACCATAAAGCTTAATTGGTTCCCAGGAACTGGCTTGGGGAGGCGAGAAACCTATTGTGTTGTAAGCTGAAGATGTATATGTTATTTCTAATGGCTCCCGACACCGGTGCATGAAATTCGTACACGGGGCAGGGTCCCCTCAGCCCGGCCTGCACCCTCTCCAGTCCGGGATCCCTCTCACAATCCTGGACCACTGGATCCTAATCCCTCACCTGCCTGCCTGCCTGCCTGGTCACCCCTAACTGCCCCACCCACCAGCCTGATTGCCCCTCACTAGCTCTGCATGCTGGCCTGATTGCCCCTAACAGCCACCCACCTGCCGGCCTGGTCACCCCTTACTGCCCCCGCTGCAGGCCTGGTCACCCCCAACTGCCTCTCCTGCTGTCCTGGTTGCCCCTCACGTCCCTGCCCCCCCACTGGCCTAGTCACCCCATGCAGCCTGCTTGTTCAGTTGTTTGGTCATCCCTCACTAACCCCCCTGCCAGCCTGGTCGTAGGCAGCCATCTTGTGAGGGCTTGAGGGTTAATTTGCATATTACCTCTTTATTATATAGGCTTTTTATTCTTTATTGATTAAGGTATTACATATGTCTCCTTTTCCCCCCATTGCCTCTCTCCCCCCAGCACATGCCCTCACCTCCCTTGTGCCTGTGTCCATTGGTTAGGCTTATATGCATGCATACAAGTCCTTTGGTTGACCTTCACCCCCTCCTCTCCCCTCCCCTGCCTTCCCTCTGAGGTTTGACAGTTTGTTTGATGCTTCTCTGTCTCTGGATCTATTTTTGTTTATCAGTTTGTGTTGTTTATTATATTCCACAAATGAGTGAGATCATGTGATATTTATCTTTCTCTGACTGGCTTATTTTGCTTAGCATAATGCTCTCCAGTTCCATCCATGCTGTTCTAAATGATAGGAGTTCCTTCCTTTTTATAGCAGCGTAGTATTCCATTATGTGGATGTGCCACAGTTTTTTAACCCACTCATCTTCTGATAGGCACTTAGGCTGTTTCCAAATCTTAGCTATTGAACATAGGGGTGCATATATCCTTTCTGATTGGTGTTTCTAGTTTCTTGGGATATATTCCCAGAAGTGGGATTACTGGGTCAAATGGGAGCTCCATTTTTAATTTTTTGAGGAAACTCCATACTGTTCTCCACAGTGGCTGCACCAGTCTGCATTCCCACCAGCAGTGCAAGAGGGTTCCTTTTTCTCCACATCCTTGCTAGCAATTGTTGTCTGCTGATTTGTTGATGATAGCCATTCTGACAGGTGTGAGATGGTACCTCATTGTTGTTTTGATTTGCATCTCTTGGATGATTAGTGATTTTGAACATGTTTTCATATGTCTCTTGGCCTTCGGTATGCTGGCTTTTATTTTTAAAAGGGTTTTTCTGTTTGCTTTGAGGGGACAGTGATGGAAACAAGGATACTGATGAAGCTATTGCAATAATCCAGGAGAAAAGCGTGGTTGATAGTTGTGGAAATAAGAAGTGGTTGGATTCTGGGTATATTTTAAAATAGAGATTATTATACTTTCAAAGGGATTAAGCAAACACACACACACACACACACACACACCCCACAAAACAAAAACTCATAGTCTCAGACAACAGTATGGTGAGTACCAGAGGGAAAGGGAAGGGAGGTCAAAGTAGGTAAAGGGGGGAATAAATGGTGACGAAAGAGACTTAGCTTGGGGTAATGAACACACAGTACAATATACAGATGATGTATTATAGAATTGTACACCTGAAACCGATTTAGTTTTATTAACCAGTGTCACCAATAAATTCAATAATTTAAAAAAAATAGAGATTATGAGATTTGCTAATAGACACTATCTAGGATGAGTGAGAAATATAGGAATCACGGGGATGCAGTTATTAGGAAGAACTGCATGATTCATTTCTCTCTCTTCTTTTTCTTTAATAGACTAATCTTTTATTTCCCTGGGAATATTCAGTATCCTAACATTTGTGTCTAGCTTCTTAAAACACTGTGGCTCTTAGCCCTACACATGCAGCATCTAATCCAACTCTACCATTTCTACTCTTCTCTTTTTCCTATAAAAACCCTCTGTACCCTTCTGTTGCCTATTCCATATGCAATGCTCACCCCACCACACAATTCAAAACCTCTACAGCCTGAGACTAACTTTTTCATTTAGGTCTTACACATAAAGTATCTGATTCATGTCTAAATGACTAATAGCTTAAATTAAAATAATTTTCTCCTCAGTGAGGCTATTTTAAAGTGCTTTGAAATTACTCAAATTGAGCCCCCTTTTTTGTGGTGAATACTCTTAAGTAGTGATGGGTCTATGATCACCTGCAAATTATACTTAGTTGATGACTACCTTCCACCCATGCAAGTATTATGCTGATTTTGCTCAGAGCTCAGGTTTTATTTTAAAAAAGGAAAACTACTATGAAGAAATGAATCATTACTTTTAAAGATCAACTCCATCACAGCTTGGTTATCATTATTAATAAATGAAAAAGAGCTAAAATGTAAACAGAGTCTCTAAGAATGACAGATATGTGTTCCTATTTGGAACTAGTAGTTTTGAAGTCCCCTCACAGCAGCTTGTCTTGGTATATGCCCAAGGAAAGGCTCAGCACTTAACCTTCTATATCATTGGAGTCTGAGTGATATCAGGATCTCCCTTCACTTTATCACCTTAAAGTATTGATTGATGTGGCTGGTATTTAGTTTGTATTATTCTCACTTGGGGGAGAAACTAGATACTTTTGTGT